CTCAGCTAAAACTATTGATCATATATCATGCTTACTGTGAGCACTGTGAGCAGTGCTGTACTAAACGTAGCCCATGACACCTGTTAATTCAGCGGCTGAAACTTGATTTTGTATGTTTAATCCTTATCTGAAGCCTTCAGTGCAGAGAAGCTGAGAAAATCAACGGAATAAAATATATTTTTAGAATGAAAAAAAACATGAATAGAGTATAATCTGATTAAGCTCTTTCTTTTTTGCCTTTTACAATTTGCTTCATAATCAAGTCAGAAAAACAACAGAGAGCAGAATCTCTCTTCAACATGAAAGGAGACAAAATTAATCTTTTCTGGTTCTCAAATAGACTGGAGACACTTTTTTCTGCAAAAAGTAGAACTGAGAAAAAAATGTGGTAATTATGAAGTGACCCTGCATCTAAAAGCCCTGTTTTCCTCTCCTCAAAGGTATTGCATGTTTCCTGTGGTTTGTCGGCTTCTGTTTTCTGGCCAATCAGTGGCAGGCGACCTCTCCGGAAGAGCTGCCATTGGCGCAGGGCTCCGACGCAGCCAGAGCCGCCATCGCGTTCTGCTTCTTTTCCATCCTCTCCTGGGTGTGTATGCTTACACCTGTCGATTCACACTGCCCTCTTTGTCTTTTGCACGCCTGTGAGCATGTGGTTATCATCATCATCTGATATTTGATCACCTGCATGCTCGCGTGTGTGTTTTCAGGGTTATCAGTGTCTGCTGACCATGAACACATTTAAGAGCGTTTCCTTCACGGAGGTCGAGCAGCTGCTGCCCACGACCCCCCCGGCCCTCTCTCAAGTCTAACACTGCCGCACACACTTGGTTGACCTGGGCAGCTTCCAGGCGTCGGTGCTTGTTTGACCGTGTGTGTGTTTGTGTAGTTTTGCTGACAAAGCATCTCACTGCTGAGAACTGCATTGCAAGAATATATTTCAACTGAGACAGTTAGCTCATTTATTATCCCCTGGTGACTCAGTAGAGCCTGTTAAAACTAGCTTAACACCAACCTATAGCAGCCATTCATCTCACTGTCATCGGATAAGCTCTAATTGTGTCAAGGAAGTACGGCATGGTTTCACTTTTTTAGTCTGTCAAGTCATTTATTAACCATTAAGTTGAGAAGGACTCAATTGTTCCCCTGCAGAGGGTTAGTAGCGGGTGGCAAACAATCATATTAAAGGTTCAGTCGTCTTCAGGCTGTAGCTCCTCTCTGGAGGGCGTTACTCATTAAACACGATTAGCGAGTGACACCTTGTAGCTGTTTGGGCTTCAAGGCTGTCATATTTTTGACAGGAAGCTTGTGTTTGAAAGCAGTTAAATCTGCATATAACCTTGTGTCGAACCAAAGACGATCTGTGTGAGATGATGATAAACAGCCTAGTGTCTCGCTTAAGTCACAGGTCCTTGAGTTTGAGGTTTTATCAGATGCACAGTAGTGTATAACAGTACAAAGAAGGATTTCAGTACTTTGAATTGTTCTTTTAGCAGCAGCTGGGATGGACTGCTCTCCCACTGTGACACTAAACTGGGGAAACTGGGATGAATTTTCCATTTTGTTATCCCAGTGTAAAGCCAGTGTGGGTGTGAGAACTTGGCACCTGGTATTTCATCTGTCATTAAAATGAAACCTGAGGCATTTTGAGAAGGTTTCCAATTGTAGGCACAGTGTGAGTGACAGGGAGCCTAACACTGCTATAATTAAATGCATGTTTTATGCCCAGTTTCAGTGTGATAGGAGACACTCGGGTTTAATAAAAACAAATAAATATAATCTTACAATAATGATCGCAGCGCATTTATGTCTATGTGTCTGCATGTGCACTGTCACACATACACACAGCGATTATTAACATTCATATGTTGTTCGATTTCCTGTATATTGGATTCATTTTATGAGTCGCCTGCAAATGCAATATCAGGTTCTCTGTTTGCATTCGTTTCAGTTTTCCTGTTCAACATATGTTGCCCATACTTAACGCTCACTGTTTCCTTGCATCTTCCAAATTTGTACCTACGACAGAATTTCTTCCGACTCACCACTAAATACACTAAGTAAATATAATTTAAAAAATAGCCCAGGCCTTAAGTAGTTAACATAGAACTTATTTTCCTCTGTAAAACCATTAACGCAGCGGTCCCATTCTGTCAAATGAGCCTTATAGCGTCCATAACTCAATGAATAAGAGCAGCTTTTAGTTTAAAGAGTTTAGTTTAGCATTATATCTGTCATCATCTCGGTTTTGTGAGACTTCAGAATCAACCATATTTTTATGAGAAGGTGGATTGCTGAGATATCATGTTAGCCAGCCTAGTCAGCAAGTTGCATACATAGACTTTGGAGGTGAGTCACACAGTCACAGATACTTGCTAAATGGTGTTAAGTAACATGCAAATAAAATATCTGAATATCACCACAGATGAGCACAGACTAAATATGGCCTGATTCACACATAATTTTAAGCCTTCATGCAACTTAAATGGGTGATTGGAAATCATTGCGATGATATCATTGCGATGTTATTAAGGAGGTAAATTGGCTATGGAGACCAAAACATAGTATAGCAGGCTGTAAACATGTTTATTTCTGATGTAAAGTTGGGCATTTTAACATGAGCGTCTCACTCTGGGAGCGAGCTTCGAGTGGCCACTGGAGGAACTGCAGTTTGAATTTTCAACTGCAGGTTTTTATATTGTTACATTGCGCTGTTGTTTCATTGAAGACTCTGAAACTGCGTAATGGAAAAGCACAAAACTTAATCCCAAGTGGTGTAAACCTTCTTCACGCTACACCTTCGTGCTTCTTCTGTCTATTTTGCGTCACTGCATCTTTAACCAACCCTTGCACATCTGCAGGCTTCTCTAAAAACAGAGTGTTACTCAGCGTGTGATTAACAGTGTTAATCATTAACATGTGTGTGTCTGCGTGTGTGTTACTAACAGGCTGTGCTGACGCTGAGTGCGCTGAGACGCTTCTTAACCGGCAGTAACTCAAACTTATTCACCTGGCAACACCTGGATCCCGTCCCTAGCAACACTCGAGCTACACCATACCCCATTGCCAATGGCGCTACCATAGTTACCACAAATCCCTATCAAGCTCCGCCCTTCACTGAAACCCTGGACCCCCAGAAGCTCACACAGCAGAGACCCTTGGCTCCTGCCTTCTAGAGACACACACTCAGGGAGAGAAGGACGCGATGTACACGACATGGACAACTTCCTGCCTCACTGTTGAGCGGTTTCTCCATCCTCTCCTGGGATTGGCAGGATTTTGGGTCATGTGAAGCGTGATATGTTATCACCATGGCAACTGCTGGCTCAGCTTAGTTATTTGTAACTGTCTGTGTCAAGAATTCCGTCTTCTGCTCATGCACACACACAGATACCGGCGCACGCAAACACAGCTGTACTCCCTCACACCTGGAAACAGATGCACACACACACACCCAAACACACACCTGGAAACACATGTACATACACCTGGAAGAACACACGCTCACGCCTTGACTGCATGTTCATATGGTGAAGTGCAGATTAACATAGATGTAGATGCAGTGATGGTGCTCCATCTGCCTTATTAACAGATAACTTAGCGAAGGAAACATGGAGGACAGGGAAGCTGTGTAGCTATCTATTTCTGTTTGTCCTCAGTCAGCCTGGCCAATCACAAGCTGTCCTGCTGACATGTGAGCTCCCATTGGCTGAACGTCAAACAGAGGGTCCGTTTGACCAATAGATTGTGAGCAAAAAGAGTGAGGCCAGGCAGACCTTGCAGAAAATGCTACATTTTCTTAGCAGGGGAATAAAGGCAGGACTGCTTAATGCATTTTGTATGCTATGGTGTTTTAGTGTGAAATATTCATGTGATTCAATATTTTATTGTGATATGCTGAAGTGGTATTTGAAAATAAAATCTATCTACTACCACCACCAGAGTCTGCCTTTGTTTCCATTATCTTTAAATAACTCCTTTGCTTCCTGCAATATGAGAACACATTTTTTGAAAATAATCATGTGTTGCGACAAAGATCCGGGGACGTGTTAGCATACTAATCACCATTTGCTGGAAGAAGGCCATAGAGTGGTTGAATTCATTAGCGGCAGCAGGCAGCTGCTGTGTGTTATCTTTATTTTTAGATTAGGAGGCACGTGTTGAAGACTGCGAATGTTTCCGCTTCTGTTTCTTTTTACCATCTTGACACATGAGGAAAGGACAGAATTAGAAGAAAGGTTGAGTCAGATAAAAGTCAGACAGGAAGTGGTTTTATTCCAGCACTGTCCAATCATCTCCTTTCTTTGTATCATTCCCCGCGTCCATTAATATGCAGGAACATTAAACGGCTTTATGAACATTTGCATCATCCACCATCATCATCAATCGTTACAACTGGCACCCCTCATCATCCCATCATCCATCCTCGTCATCACCAGCAGATAAATTGACATTCAAAAGTGTAGAAATTCACCTTTGTAGTTCTCCTACCACCCACTGTGTTAATAAAATAGATTCTTGACCTTTTCTACAAAGTTTTACGCATTGTTATGTCACCTGAATAAGCCCTTCTTTTACATCTGCGTCTGTCTGAATCACCTCTTCAAATTTAAGGGGCCAGCAGAGGGCACTCTAACTCCGCAGAGCTCTGATCGCACCACACTCAGCTGTGTCTGAACTACCTCTACCCTGAGAATACTAAGACGGAGGGGGGGTTGTGAGAAAACGGAGCTGACTGAATGTTTTGAGTGGGAGGGATCGGGGGGAAAGCGAGGTAGAAACTACTAAGGCCTAGGTCACACTACGTGATTTTAACTTAAAGGTTCAAAGAGCGGATTGATTTTTCAGGCTGTCAGGGTCGGGTGCATACAGGCCAAAAATCAACAAGACATCAAGGTTTTCTCAGGCCATGAGCAATCAAGCGACACCCAGAAGTTTACTGTAGGCTGTGATGAATGAAGAAAAAAACCCTCCAAAAACCAAAAAACTGAAGATGAATCATATTGAAAATCAAAAACTATCTTTAATATAAAATTTCCTATTATGATATATCCAACAAGCTGCTGTACAGGATTCATTATTACTGGAGGTATAAGTCTCTTATAAAATGGCATTGTGCCTGCACCATTCACATACTGTAGGTGTTCAGTTACAAATTATTATTATTTTTTATTACGTTTTGTAATTCTACTGCTTAAAACCACATTTGTAAACATAAACTGTAATTTCTGCACCACAGAGGACAAAGTGGGGGGAAATTCTATTCAAGTACCGGTTTGCAAATTAGGAAAATCATCAGATCTTATTAACTGAATGAGAGCTGAAACAGCTTGTTGATCAAAGGGTTAGTCAAAAGAAAACAGTCGGCAACTCTTGATATCGATAACTGACGGATACATTTTCAAGCAACAATGCTGCGAGAGGTTCTGCTAACTCATCTGATTTGTTAGTTTTACAGCTTTTTCTTACTTACTAAGACATTACTCCTAGCCTGCTGTACCACACCATGGTAAGGTGGTTAAGTCAAGGAATTGGGGTGATACTAAGACTGAGACATATTGTTGAAATCACTTATTTTCTTTAGGATTATTCATCATCTGCCCTGTAAATAGATGGTTTCATACATGTGACTCTATTTAGAATGTATGTCTTTACACTGAAACAAAAGGGGAACATTTTGAGGTGTTTTTCTTTTATACTGTTCAATGATTTTACTATTTCATTAAGATCAAACTGGGTTGTGTGTAGCCTAAGAACTTAAATGACTTTGACCCTCTTGATCCAAAATCATAATAAACTGACAACCTGCTGTTTGGTCTTTTTTGTCGGGGTAAAGAAATCCCAGAACAGCCTACTCTGTTCACCTGGATGTTGCATTTTCAGTGGGAAAAACATTTAATCACTAATCCTACTGACAACTTCAGTCATTTGACATTCAAAAATGCGGAAATTCAACAGTCTTCAGTCACTTGGATGGCTGAAAAAGTCATTTATCCCATTTAAAAAAAAGCTGCAACCAGATGAACATAATCGAGTGTCTGGGGTTTGGTATTTTCACAGAGAAAAAAAAAAAAGTGATTAGACGTTACCGTGATCCGGTTATGTTGTGTGGACTAACAGGTAGTTGCAGCCCCAGCTGTGTGGTCTCTTTGTGTAAAACAGCAGACCAGTCACCAACTTAACCTGCAGTGCACCTTCAGAGTAGTTTTGTACTCTGACCTGGGCTTGAGGTGCGAGGAAAAGGATGAGCGAGTGGAGCAAGCAAGGGGGAGGGTTAGTGTTTGAGTAATATAGCTGCAAAGTGACTCTATGAGTGAACTAAAGCTAGAACTATGAGAGAAGAAAAGGAAACTTCTTCTTGTGTGCATCTCGTGTGCATACGGCACAAAAGGGGTCCAAGTCTTTGAACACATACACACTCAGTACACACACAGTCTGAGTCCTGCTCACACAACCTATGAAAACCTTGTGAGTGCAAGAGGCGAGGGGCGGGACAGGAGACGGGTATAATCCTGTTTCTGGCCGCGGCTCCCGTCCCTCTCGTGCACTAAAGCAGCACATTCGGCTCCTCCACTTCAAAGAATGACCAATCCCATCACAGGGTTTGTTTAGTCTTCCACAGAACTTCCCTCCGGCAGATTAGGAGAGAGGCTTGTGGCGTCAAAAGACAAAGTCCGCCTCCTCAGCTCAGCGCTGCTGTCAGTTAGTTGGGTTGTGACTGGAACTGGCTCCTCCCTGGGCGGCGGGCTCATTCGCTGCTTCCTGTTCCTGCCTGAAACCGGGGACACCGAATGGCTGAGGCGGCTCCTGTGCTCCCCGGGACTCGGGGTGAGGTGTCTACTTTTGTGCGGGGAGCTGGTAGGTTGCGTGTGAGAGTGAACAGAGCTGTTAATACAGCTGACCTCTGCGTCAGTGTCATCTGGCTGCGGGGCGGGGTCTGAGCCAGGAACGGGGCTGGCTGCTCTGGAGTCACAGAGTGGAACTGATACCTTCAAACTCTTCTCAAAATCTGCTTCTGGCTGAGAGCCACAGGCTGTCTGCTCAGGTACGTGTTCTTGTGCAGCGGTATCGCTGTGGCTCCGACTGTGGCTCCTGCAGGAGATGACCCTCTGCGAGTGCGCATATTTCACTGTGTGAACGCTGGACGACCGTTGCCGTGGTGGGGTGGAGGAGGCTGCGGGCACAGTGAGTCGGGGCTCCGCCAGATCGTCAGCTGAACTCTGATCCAGAGAGTCGAGGCGCACGGCCTCCTGCGGACACAGCACATTCACAAACACTATGAGATAGCCAATCGCAGACTGTTGTAAAGTGCATGTAGGCTTGTGTGCTGCAGATCACCCTGGAGCAAAAGATGGAATACTAAAAAATACATTTAGATAATTTTTTGTTCCTTACAAACACAAAAAGGCCCCAAAATTGATTATAAGCAACTACGACCCACTTCAAACTTTGCAGACGTTGCTGTTGCAACATACCTCTCAGCTTGTCTTTATGTTCTTTGATTCCGACTCATTCCCATAAAATTAAAAATCACCATCTAAATCCTTACAACATAAAACAGCTTGAGGCGACTGTTGTTGTGATTTGATACTTTATCAATAAAACTGAACTAAACAGAGCAGAAAAAGGTTTGCAGTGTGTTTGTGTTCAGCTATCATCGTCATAAAAACACACCTGTCTCCTTAACTGTCTGCTCGCAGTGCGGAAGGATGCTGGTCTCCTCATGGCTGAACTGTCAGGGACGTAGGAGGGGCTCAACTTGTTTCTGTCTAAACTGTCTTCGGGACTGAGCCAGTAAGAAGGACGCCTGCCGCCGCCACTGTGCGTGGGGCTCAGTCTGAGCGACGGATGCCTGTCTATGCTGTGGCTGGACATGAGCTTCGGCCGCTCGGCACTGGGATCCGGATTCACCCTGTATCCGTCCATACTGTGAGCAGAGCTGAGTCTGTGTCTGTTGATGCGATGCGCTGGGCTGAATCTATATCCATCTATGCTGTGAGCCGAGTTCAGTCTGTGTCTCTTGGCTCTGTGAGTGGGGCTAAACCTGTATCCTTCTACGCTGTTGGCTGAGCCGAGTCTGTGTGAGGAGTGCCTGTCGATGCTGTGAGATGTGCTGAGGCAGATCATTGGCCTTGAGCTGCGTCCAGACCCCAGTGAAGCGTGACTGATGGCTGGCAGAGCTCCTGGAACCTGCAGCAGGGAGCCGCCTCCACTGGAGCCAAGAGATGACATGGAGCCTGCAGACAGTAACGTGGATTATGAAGATGACAGCTAGAGCAAAAAAAGCAAGACTGTAACTGTTAGATGCATTTTTTTTAAAGAGTTGTTTCACCTCACAGCCACACACACACACACACACACACCATCAGCTCCTGTATTTCAGTACATTTTCACAACTCAGGAGATGAAAAAAATGTTTTGAGACCAAGTCACGATTCAGTTTCACCTCATCTTTATCTCATTGGCAATTTTAGTTAACATGACTTCCAGTGGAGGACTTTATATTCAGCTCACTCGGTGCAATAAACTTCCACTGTTAAAAAAGACACATTAACATGACAAGACTTCCAGGTAATGCTACAGGCACACTCCAAATCTAGAACTACTTGATTTCTAGTTTTAATCTATGATAAACCTTTTACTTACAGCATATTGTTAAACGTCTGAGAGAGAACACTGAGTGGAAACAACCCGAATTACGGTGTGTGCAATTGAGATTTGGTTTTATATTGGATGACGCAACATTTTCTGTTGTTTTTTATTTGTTCGTGGGATACCTGGCTGTTCCAGGATTTGTTACAATCCAAATATAAACTAGAGATGGGAAAGACGTGGCAGGCGTATAGTTCTATCAATTCCATTTAAATCCATAACAAATATCTCCTTCCTTAAGGCCTTTGATAACATTGCCTTACCTTGTGCAAACTTCACAGCTCTGCTGCCTTCTAAGCTATTTATGGAAGCAATAATCTTTACAGGAGTCATTTAGTTGTTATAGAACAGTAAAAAACAGTTCCTTAATTCGATTGGCTATAAACAGCCAAATTACCTGAGAAGCTGTAGCCGGAGAATGCCTCGTGGCCAATGAGCGGATAAGGAGAGCATCTGAGCGGCTGAGGATGGCTGTCGCTGGGGAGGGAGAGCATGCGTCCCATGCTCAGTAGGTTGCCATGGGAACACCCTTCATCCTCAACTTGCACCTGGCACATGACATCACCAACACTGTTACTCGCACTGTCATCTCTACCCTGCTAGCTCACACGCATGCAGAAATACAAGCAGGCACCTGGGCAGGTGCGTCCAGCTCTAAGTCCCCGCCCACAGACGCGGTGCTGAGCCGTCGACTGGCCTCCTCCCGCTCCCTTCTCTCCTCCCTCTCCCTCCTCTCCTCCATCTCCTCCAGCTGTGCCTCCTTGTTGCTCTCCTCCAGGTGCTTCATCAGAACGGCCACGACCACGTTGACTAGCACAAACTGAGCCGTGAGGACGAAGGTGACGAAGTAAACGGGCGAGATCAAGGGCAGGTAGGTGAGGCAGTGGCGATCCTGCGGGCGACACTCGCGCAGTGTGTCCTGGATGATGGAGGAAGGGAAGAGGAGACGATAAAGGATCAAGAAGCAATATAACCTGATGATAAATGAAGGGATTAGGGTGATATATTAATGCGCTCTGCTGTACTTCCTCTCATCTCCTACAGGGGGAGATGTTGATCTGAGCCCAAAAGGACCTTGAGCCTGTCACAGAAGAGTAATACACTCTCCTGACCCTCGAATGTCATCAGCTCTTAGTCTGTCATAAAAAAACAGTGATCTGCTCTCTGCTTAATGCAGAGGCTGTCTCATAACCTATGCATTGAGACACATACACACACACAAACATGCACTCAGTTGTCCATCCATCTTCTTAAAAACCCCCTCAGAGGAGAGGAAAGGAAGAGTAACAACCTTCATGATCCCATTCCAGTTGTCCCCGGTGGACACCCTGAAGAGCGTGAGGAAAGCCATGCCAAAGTTGTCAAAGGTAGCGTGGCGACTGAGACCCTCGCACGGGTTCTCGTCTGAGCACTCTGAAAGAGGATGAAAGGAATATTAGATCCGGTAAGTGTGGGAGACGAAGGCAAGGGGGGAGAAGAAAGAGAACTGCGCACAGATTAGATCACTGATTAGGTAGCTGATTCTAAATTGGCATTAATTAATGTATGTAACTCAGCAAAATTTATGCTTGTTTATGTAATCCACACATAAATCACCCGTCGGTCGCACCCGCTTGCACGCATGCACAGGCTCACATGCACACTCTTGCACATACATGCACGCACACACTAACCCAGTTTTCCAAAGAGCTCAACTCCCAGAGCTGCATAGATGAAGAACAGCAACATGAAGAGCAGACCCAGATTCCCCACCTAGACGGACACATTACACGCACAAACAGATATATAGAGTGTATGATACACCAAAAAATAGACATGTACAGTATACACTGAAAAAGAGAGAGAGGGAGACGCCAACAGATAGGAAGAGCCCAAAGACAGAGACCGCTGAGCCTTACTGCACTGACGTTTACTACTCCTTAAAAACTAACGGGATCCATCATGGTTCCTGGAGTGGAATAACACCTCACGTTTTAAGGCTTGAGAAACAAGTGAGTTTTTGGCGCCTGGACTCAACCCTGATGAGTCACAAACACGCTTGTCACCGAGTCCTGGCCTGCCTCTCGTCATGGTAGGAGGCACGGCGATGTCTAATTAAATAAAAGGTGCATCCACCGATGAAGCGAACTGGAAACAAGCGCATCGGACGGCGCCGCAAAGACGTGGGTTTGATCCCCTGCAGTGACGTGTCACTTCAAAGACACACAAATACTACACAAACGGGAAGGCAGTGGAGGATCGTAGGTATTTTCTTTATAGCGGAGATTTCCGCTGGTTTGTTTGAATATATGCAAAGACGAGCACGACACCTGGGGTTTGTCGTTTAAAATGAACATGGTTAAGCTGCAGATCAAAACAATCACCACACCTTATAAATGTGTACTTGCATACATGTTTCCGCTTGTTTGATGTGCACCACCGCCCCCTCCCTCACCGTTTCTCCCTTGGTTCTTGTGGGGTCCCCCGAGGAAGGTTGGTTGATCCTCCCCAAAGCCTTCCCACATTATATTCAAAGAACGGGGAAGGCGGCAGCTCTGTGATGCTATACTTAGGCACAGGAGCGCTTTGACTTAATGGTAACACGCTCACAGATACAATGCTAATGTGCAGATCTCTAGTAGTGCGCACCATAATTATGATGTTATGCCCACGCTTGTTAGCGTGCTAATATTTGTTAATTAGAAGTTAACACACAAGTAGAGCTGAGGCTGATGGGGATGTTTCTGAGTCATTGCTCAGGTGAATGACTGGGTTTTATACTAATTGCAGAATGTTGGCTGCTCCTTCCAAATGCTAAAATGTCCTTGGGTAAGAGAAGTTCACAGAGTCCCCAGTTGCACGAATTAATGACAGAGGCATTGTTAAAGTGCTCTGAAGATCTGCTAAGGTTAAAAAGTGCTGTAAAAGTGCAGACCATATTCTACTAGTATATCAGATAAAATCTGACACTCGCATGTTAACCATTAAAAGGTTAACATATGAGAGTGTTCAGCCACAGAGGAACATAAACAGTGACGCTAAACTTCACTACAATCCATCCACATCATGAAGAAATTTAAATGAAAGCTACAAACATCAGCTGTCAGCTGGAAAGCTAAATTCATTTGGCCTCATCGTGAATATTTGCTAAACATTTTATGATAATCCATTTAATAGTTGGAATATTTTAATCTGGACCAAAATGGTGAACTAATGTTGCCACTCCCACATCTAAGACACATTTTCTTTTCTTTTTACCTTTTTACTATAAATGGTAAATGGACTTGTTCTTATAAAGTCCTTTTCTACTCTATTGGAGCACTCAAAGCACTTCATACACCTTGCCTCAATCATGCAAGATAATTTTCCCTTTTCTACATACATGCTTTCTGTCTAACATTCACACACACTCATACTGCGATGGATGCATCGTAGAGCAACTTAACCCCTTAACCCTAACCCCCTTCCAATTAGTAGTTGACCAGATAACTTGATGTAGCAATTTAGTGATAGGCAGGTGCTAGATGTTGGATTTCAACCTTGTTTAGGCCTTTTTTTCCTTAGTAGACGCCTATTGTGGCTAACCCTTATTTTTCTTTTCTAAACTGAGAGGTTTGTGTCATATTTCCGGCCTGTTTCCAGAACAAAATAGCTGAGTGTGTATTAGACATTACTGAGGGTTATCTCTGCCTATACAGGTTACTATGGCTACTCTAATGGTCATTTAATCCAGCGTTATTGATATATACTTGTCAAAACTCATTATTAAGGGCACAGATGAGGTCTTCAAATGTCTTTATGGGGGAAAAAGTTAATGCATTTATGTGGCAAAAAATATGACTAGCTTTGTGGATAGGTCAAACTGGCTGAGAAGTCTTAGCTTAGCTTTTTTTTCTGTGCATGATATTCTAATATTTTTAACTGTTTCCATTGTGTTAGCCAGTGTTTTAGACAGCCAAGGTATCAACAGCATATCTTAACTGGAAAAAGCTAGACTGGGCCATCCATAGTTAGCACTAATTAGCAGGTATCTGTGACTGTGTTGCACCCATGGAGTCTTGCTAAACAAGCTAGCTGCTAACTTAGCACAGCAAAACAAAAGGAGAGTCTGCAGACCCCCAGTGGCATCACAGTGACTACATCCATCTCCCTTCTATTATCCCCAACCAGCCGCCCTTTCCTGAGACGGGTTTTGAGATTCCTTCCTGTCAAAGGGGAGTTTTTCCCTCCCAGTGTCACCAAGTGCTTGCTCATAGGGGGTTGTTTGATTGGGGTTTACCTTACAATATAAAGCACCTTGAGGTAGTGGTCCAGGCTGTCATTATTAGTCTATTGTAGGGGACATAATCACAGGCTTGAAAAAAAACACAGGAACACAGGAAAGGAGCTCAGGAGGTAATCAGAAGGTTGGCGATGTGATTGGTAGTTGGTGGTGCAAATATGAATGGGTGTGTGAATGAAGCTTATAGTAAGAAAGTGGTTTGAGTGCTTAAATACAGTGGAAAAGTGTGATATATCTACCAGTGTATTTGCCTGGTAAAATCTGCCTGAATGCAGCTTTTGTCTGCAGAGTTTTTGTGCCTCAAAGAAAAGAAAGCTTTTCAGATTGGATCTTTGGATGTTCTGCTTTATTCGTCAGCAAGCAGCAAAACAATCATCCCAAAGCCAAACTGTTTCATAACATGCCATAAAGTCAGGATTTAAGTGATGAGTATGAGGATCAGCAGGTACCCTTTAGCTGAATCTGAGTATGTCTTCTTCTTTGTTTAGTGATTATTAGTTGTCGCACTATAGCACTGCTTGGGAGGAATAAGTGATAAATCATGAGAGAGGCAGTCAGTGCCAGGCCTCGTAAATTTCTAAATAAAACAAGCCATCTGCTTTTCATCAGATCTGGACACCAGGCAGGCATTTAAAAAGACATGTTTAACTGTACAAGCACAATAGATGCTTCTTACCTGAGGCAGAGCCTGCATCACCGTGTCCAACAGAGCTCTCATCCCCGTCGCCATCTTTAACAGCTTCAGCACTGAAATATCGCAACATGTCAGCTCTTATCAGCCTCACACCGTCGTGTTTGTTTTTTTTTGTGTGTTTGTCTCCCCGTGTGCTTACCTCGTGTTATCCTGAGGACCCTCATGATCCGTATAATTGTGGGGTTGATGGGCAGGGAAGCACTCAGGTCTATTTCCTCCAGTGTGATACCCATGATGGACAGCAACACAATGGCGAGGTCCAGCTGGTTCCATCTTGACACACACATGGACAAAAACAATATTAGCTTCTGAAGGGATGCTTTTTGAGAGCCTCCGTCTCCATGCGCGACTGGGGATACCTCTCTTTGAAAAAGCGCCGAAGACCAAATGCGATGAGTTTCAGAATGGCCTCGATGACGAAAACCAGCGTGAAGACATAATTGCAGTACTTCAGTATCTCCTCGAGGTACTGCAGGACACACAGATACACACTTCTACAATACCACTGCATTGTGCTTCATTACTATGGTTTTAGGACAGGTGGAGGAAGGTGTTGCCATGGTTACCTGAGGTTGGTTGTAGTGCTCCATGCTCATGGTAAGGAGGTTTGTGAAGATGATGATGGTTATGAAGAGATCCAGGTAGTGGCTGGTGCACACGCTGTGGATGCTTCGACGTAACGGGGAGTAGTCGGCGTAATACGGCTTCTCAAGGGCCCCTGCACACACACACACACAGATACAAACACAGACACACACACACACACTGAGAGTCATTAAAATGCTTCTGAAAGAAAAATGTGATATTGGCTATGAGGTCACTGGTGAAGCGTGTGCCAAGTGGCACTCTGGTGTGTGCGTGCATGTGTGTGCACAGACTAAAAGTGCCACCTCAGGAATTCAGTCCTATCCATCATGCACACACACTCTCCACGGCACCTCAAGGTGTCTTTGAGCAGAAACCCTCGCTGTCTGCTGCCAGACAGTTAACTGACTAAGAGGAGAGCACTACTAGAGATTACACTGCAGAGAGAGCGTACAGAGAGAGAGACAGAAATCTAGCAAGAGAAAGAAAATGTGTGTGTATGTAGGGGTGTTGACTATGCGTGTGTGCACACCTATGCGAAATGACCAGAACTATGCAGACACATTCCCTGACAAGGGAATATTTGATACAATTTTAAGACAATTTAATGCCTCGGCATAAAATTTTAGACAACAGCAGGCTCCAACTGATACACCTCTTTAACTGCTCATTAACAAAACTATCCACTCAGCCAGTGACATCAGAATAACTCAGGCAAGTAGACAAGGTCAAGATAACCTGCTGAAGTTTGCTTGTTAGAACAAAGGAATGCAGGAGAGCATCTCTGAATGTGCTTGAAGCAGATGGTCTACAGGAGCAGAAGGCCTTCACAATCAACAGATCTCAGTCCAACAGAGCACCTTTGGGATGTGGTGGAACAACTATGGAGCACTGTGTGATGCTTTCATGTGAATGTGAACCAAAATCTTGCTGCGCCTTGTTGAATCGATGCAATGAAGAACTAAACCAGTTCTGGAGGCAAAAGCGGGCCCTAGCACACTGTACCTAATAAATTGGCCAGTGAATGTATAATAGGTCCATGTACTAAGCTCCACAAAGAAATAGCTCCATTAGTTTGGTTGGAGCACTTTTGACTGGCTGACGCAGTGACGCTGGGTTTACTGCCAGCATCAGCGCCAACATTTTCTTTCAGTTCTCCAGCAGGCATGTTTCCCTTGTTGTTTAAAGCAGGAGCATTTTTTTGTTGTATTTTGTACCTTTTCCCTCTGCACCCGTTTCTTCTGCTTCAGACTCCAAAGGAGAAGTGACATAAACAAACTAAAACTAGATTTGCTTTGAAAAGTGAGGAAAAGAAAAGAATGAGGAAATCGCTACATAATAAGTCAAGGTTACTCGTCAACACATGCTGGCTTTTATGAAATTTAATGCTGAGAAGTAAAAATGCTCTAACACCGACAGACCTGATGAGATAGTAGAGCAGAGAAAAGAGACACTCATAAACCACAAATGACATGTCCTACTTTCAGCGCACTCTGACGCACCAGTTCGAATGGAAGCTGATCGTTCCGGACACTGGGAATAATGTGCTCGTGTACAGGCGTCGGCAGACCTGGGCCCAGAATGTTTTATGAATAGCTCCTCCAAAAGCTGGAAAATAATGGATATTGCTCATCGAGCACATGAAAAATGTTCAACTCTTTTTGGGTTGTTCTCTGTTCTCTCTCTTTGTGTGTGTGTGTGTGTGTGTGTGTGTGTGTGTGTGTGTGTGTGTGTGTGTGTGTGTGGACTTGTCTTTGTTGGCATCTGCTGGTCGCTATGCTAGGGATGTATGAACATTTTTCAAAGGAAAAGGAAATGGAAGCTAACGGGCGCAGGCGAGGCCAGAGGAGATGCAGGAAGAGTTATCTCCCGTTGCTGTAGCAGCAGATGAGTCAGGACATGAGAAAGCCACTGCCTCATCTACGAGCTCGGAGGATGAAAGAGAGGACTGTTAAGCTAGAGCATTTCTGTCACAAGGCACACTGTGTGAAAGCCTTACCTTACACCTCCACGTGTGATTAAAGCCGTGTTAACCATCTTACAAAATTCTGAGGCACGCTGGGCGAGCTAGCTGGCACTCACTGTGATCTTAGTGCGGAACATGGGCCGAGCACAGAAAGGAAGCGGGATGACCTTACTTTTCCCTTTGTAGAAATCAACTGATACATCTTCCAGCTATAAATAGTTTCCCCTGAAGCGTATTTATGAATCATCTGCATTTGCATTTGCAGTCGATTTGGCCACTGAAACTGTCCCACAGTGAGAGGGAGTGAAAGAGAACTTCAAAGAGGAACAGCAGCATAGAGAGATGAGGTCACAAAGACAGATGCGATCAGATGGAGAGAGCCCAGGACCCCATGATTAACTGTAATAAATAGCAAAAGAACGCTGATTGATCTATATGTGCCGCTGAACATCGACTATCAACCTGCAGCTGACATCCTGTAGTTGTTCCTATGTTGTGTAATTATCATATGGAATAATGAGTATCGATGATTATTTAGCCCCTATGGGAGGAAATAGTGCACTCATGTTTTGCTTCTGTTTTTTGGAAGAGAGGGAGCAGGATGGTTGCACAGTGATTAGCACTACTGCCTCACAGCAAGAAGGCCCTGAGTTCAACTCCATCACCCGGCCTTCCTGTGTGGAGTTGCATGCTCTCTCTGTGTCTGCGTGGGTTTTCTCCAGATACTCTGGCTTCCTCCCACAGTCTGAAGACATCTAGTTAAGTGTTTTAGGTTAATTTGTGATTCTAAATTGCCCGTGAATGTGAATGCAAATGGTTGTCTGTCTCTCTGTGTTAGGCCTGCGATAGACAAAAAAAATACATTTTACTAGATTTCGGGTGGTATATGTTGATGGGATCATTTTCATGGCCAAGGGAGTAAAGAGCAGAGGAGGAGGCAACTCTAGCAGGCAGAATGGAAAATGGTGCAACTATCAGGGGAGACTCTAAAGACTTCTGGGTAGGGTGAAGCCACCAGTGGTTCAAGATCTTTACAATATCTCTTAAAGGAAGTGAAGTGAATGCAACGTGTGTGTCCATTTTCTTGAATCACGACTGCATGGTTTTTTTCAGGTGGTTTAGGAATCACATGTTAAGCAGTTACAGGTGTAACGTTTGGATGTCCACTTAAAGCACTGTGCAGATTTTGAGCCGGCCCTCCTGCCATTTTTTAAAGTGGTCCCGAGTAACAGTTCTCCAGGCTTTGTGAAGGTCTTTCAAAGTTTTTTCTTTGGACATTGGCTGCTTTTTCACCCATTTTCAGTCCAGTCCTTGTACCTGACCATTTTCGTTTGTTAAGCCGCTGAACACTGACGTGAATCATTCAAGCATAAACGGACATCCAGCTCAAGGGATGAACCAATGTTGCGTCTACACATAGCAGACAACTTAGAGCCCATTTCAAATTGTATCTTTAAGGCCTTTACACACCGGACGTGTAAAATTTGTGCGAATATTTTGTGATTTAAAACTATTTTTCGGACTCACCTATTCTTAATAGAGCCATTCACATTGACCACAATAAATGCCAAGTCTGCCAATAAAAGTTCAAACTGTCCCACTGACATCCTGAAATATGCACAGAAGCAGACGCGATAGAATTTCAACTCCTGGGTCAAAACATGAAATTCTTCCTCCTGCTGCCTTCTCGTGAGAGTAGCAGGAACCCAGAATCGCAGTTTTTTCCTTTTCTTGTTTGGAAACATCAGGACCAGCTGGTCATAGGTTGACATATTTTTCACAAAATCACAGTAAATCACAAGTTAGCGTCCTAAAAACTGAAAATTTCATGCAGAATTTCGTAAAGACTTTTAGCAAAAACACAAAAAATTAGTTAAGATTAAAAGGTTTGACAGCATAAAATAGTATTTTTGCACTAACAAGGTGATTCCCAAAGACCTATTAGCCTTAAATGTGGTTTATCTTGCCATGCTGTGCAGTTTTCTGTGAAGTCCTCACAACATTTAAGGAAACAGAACAAGTGGAAGGCAAAGAAAGAACATTATCAGTCATGGATCGGCCTCACCGGTGCCCAGACCTCAACATTACTGAAGCACTGTGGGATCATCCTGACAGAGAACAGAACAACAGGCAGAAACATCCAAAGAACAAGAAGAACAAGAAGCCTGGAGAACTATTCCTGGAGACCACTTAAATAAATTACAATAACACTTGTCTATGAGAGCTCAGACAGTGTTGAAGAATAAAGTCAATACCAAATATTGGCATTCAGGGTTGTCAGAATTGTACATATTCTGTTTTTGTCTTCTATACTGTATTTCCATTTATATTTCCACATTTCAATAAATGGCTGCACCCATTTCCCATTTTTCTAGCCAAATATGAAGCCATAAGGGGTGACTCAAGACTTTTGCACAGTACTTTACTCTGATGTCCCTCCACCCACTTTCCCAAAACGCTTCCTCACTTCTCCTCCTCTTCTCCAGTCGCTTCTGTCGTTTCTCCTCCCTCAGCCGCGCCTCTTCCTCCTCCTGCTGCTGGCGACACTTGTGAAAGTTTTCCACCACCACGCCCACAAACATGTTGAGCACAAAGAAGCTGACAATGAGCAGGAATGAGATGAAAAACAGCAGCATCCAAGGATTGTGGTTTCTCACTGGCTGCAGAGAGAAACAGAGAGAAAAGAGCGAAGAAGAAAGGACAGGAGGTAGCACAGAGACACAAAAGGTAAAAAAAAAAAAACCAAGAACAGAAGGACAAAAGAGTGATGAAAGAAAGTGAGGAGGGGTGGAGAGGAAGAAAAGGAGAGAGCACAAACAAGAAGACAATGTAAGTACTGAGTCAGCACTAAAACTGCCAGCTCTGTCAGCTCACATCTATTCATCCATCTGCCTTTTTTTTTCTTTTCTCTGCACAGCTACACCTCACTCCTGAGATATTTCCCCTTTCACACTCAAACAAACAAGATCAAGTGTTCCTAAGAACGACACAAAAAAGAAGGAAATCACAGGGAAATATTCACTCGCTGAATGAGTCGTTCATCTCCCTGATTTTCACTTTTTAATCCCCCACACACCCGCTCTCCCCTCCCGCTGTGTGCGAGACTGCCTCTCCTCACCTGCTGGTCCACACCCACGGCATCCAGGCCATCGTACATGATGCTGACCCAGCCGTCCTTACACGACAGCACAAAGAGCGACATCAGCGCCTGGCGGGATGATACGCACATAATTCAGCTTTGCTGCTACGATTACCAGCCTGTAAGAGCAGACGTCTGTCCAAGAGTGTGACAAACCTGTCCCAGATTGTCGAAGTTGTATTTCCGCCGCAGCCAGCGGTAACCAGCCTGCAGACACTCAGTTTTATTGGTGATGTTACTTACATGGATCCCGTCGCAGTGGAAGAATTTCCCTTTAAACAGCTGCGCAAGTGTGAGCACAGAGAAAAAAACATGAGAGAAGACTGTAACCTCAAGGCAGTGTAAACAAACCTTCACACAACAGAGCAGAGGCTGTTATATTGCTGTACAGTAAACAGTCTGGAAGAGCCTGCAGACCCCTGCGCAGAATCACTCCAGCATGGGTGTTCTCATTAGAAGATAACCCACTGATAGCGTGCTTTTCCTCAAATATAAGCCTACGTGTTAATTAGCTTCAGCGTTCATTAGGTATTATATCCTTGCGAGGATTAAATCTGAATATTTGTATTTGCAAAAAGAGAAACATAAGCCATGAAAATGAACTGACTGGCTTTGAGTGGAGTTTTTAAAAACGGTACTGTACATTCATTTCCTGACTTTGACATTTTAAAATGTGGTGAGAGCCTTTAAACCTTAAAGGAAGTTTTATTAATAGATTCTTTTGTTTTAAAGTATTTCTGAAGGACTTCAACGCGTGAAGAAGTAAATGTGACCGGAGACTATCCAGCCTGTTTTAAATGTGCACTTGAGCCTGGCTCCTATTAGTGCAAAGATGTTTTACCTCACATTTAATCCCTGAGATATCGTTATATAAGAAAAATAAGCTTAAAATAAGCAATTTCAACAGCACATCTCTAGTAGGCTCTAGTAAATGAAAGAAATCTTTGGGCTTAAAGTGTAAGAAATAAATGTGTAAAATTAATTACAAAGTTTTGGTAACTCTTAGACCAGACTGCCCTGAAATTATAAAGCAGAGAGTTTATGTTAATGCACAGAAAATGCCCTTTTTTCCCTCTTTTTTTTATACTGTGGACCCATTATAAGAAAAATGAAATTTGTATAGTACATAAAGAAAAAACAGGAACTTTTCTGCAATTTAATTGTTTATATATTACTTCTTTACTTTGGTGTAGCATGAATGGCCATGGTGGAGGTCTACATCAGTAGCCAATGGTGTAAAACTAAAAAATACAGCTAAAAAATCAAAATTTATGACCTCCCTCACATTTTCCAAAGCCGTCCATTGGGGCCAGATTGGAGTCTTTGCTAGGCCAATTCTGGCCCACAGGCCTTATGTTTGACACCCCTTTACAGCAGAAGAATATATATTTACAATCTGGTACAAAAAGCAATTTTTGGCCTCTGTGTTTCTCTGATAGTTTCTCCCTTTGTAACAACTCTAGGGGGTAATTTTTTTAATAAGTCAACCACCTGGATAATTGAGTTAAGGGCACGGCTACTTTGATTGACAGGTGTCCCAACACAGGCAGGCGTAGCCAATCATCGCTGCCAGGCCTCAGCGCCACTAATTGGAGTCACTGAACTGAACCTCTCCACTGTGTTCGCGGTGTTGGTGTCTCCTGGAGCATTTTAATGGAAATATCTGACAAATAAAATGTCTCCCTGTATAGCACACATTGTCCAAGACGTTTGTGCTTCAGTTTTGGAGAGCGAACTTTGAGTGTTTTATTAGTCTGTTAGCTTAGCATTCATTAGCAGTTTGTATACGCAGCTTTGAACAAAGCTTGCTAGCACTAGTTGATACCTGGAGCCCCCCCCCTCCTCATTGTGATATGTTCAATTGTGAAATCAACCCTCCACCCCCCAAAAAAACATGGCGGCAGCCTGAATGCTAAATGCTAAAGTCCAAATACTTTAGCATTTAGCTTGACATCACAGTGGCTACGACCTAGCTTGCAGATAAAGGTGAAAATTAAGTGTTAATTCATGTTTCAGACTGTAAAAAAAGGTGAAATGCTGATCAGTAATTCTTTTGTGTCCAAACCTAAACAAACTGCAAGCAAAAAAAAAAACCACCTCCCCTTTCAGACTTTCACTGTCCTTTACATTAGAAACACACCAATATGTCACTTGAGGGATGCTGATCCAAGCTTGTTTTCTAAGGTAGGAGCAATCAAGCTACTATTTAAAAGTAGTAACAAATTAAACTTTATCTGTGCTTACATTTTTTTTTTCTTATACTGTACCCTGTTATTTGGCTTCAGAGCTTATTAACAGTCCCAACCCTGAGGTCTGAAACCAAAGCAACATCATATTCTTTTTGATCTTTTATACCAAGGAAAGTGTGTTATTTATAGTTTATTAGCTCATTCTGAATATTAAGCTATTTTAATAAATAATAAGCTGTATTTATGAATTTGATTAGTAATATTAAAATCCAGGTGAAAATCCGATTTAAAAACCGCATTCTCAGCACATTCCCCCTGTTGAACCATTGTTTTTTTTTTTTTTAATTACTTCCAGGGACTGGTGCATAATCAGCAGCTCATTTGCATTTCCTCCCAATTTTTCTCTTCACTTTTTATTACCTGAAGCTTTCTCTGAGCTCATTTACTTTAAACCACAGTGATCTGTGTCTTCTTGCAGCAGAAAACACAACGAGCTTTTAATGTTCGGTCATATCAAATCGAGTGAAAATGAGTTTGACGTGTTTTGTATTTTGCTGTCTCGGGGGGAAAATGATGGAGCTTATCTTTAACTGACAGAGGATGAATGGGGAACGGTCGGCATGAACGTTTACCTGGACTCCCAGAATTCCAAACACGATGAAAAAAGCACAGCAGATCAAAACAATATTCCCAATTGGTCTGAGAGATGTGATCAGAGTTTCAACCACCAGTTTCAGACCTGGAGCACGACTTATCACCCTGCAGCAAGCACACACACAGGTTAAACAGTCCTTAATATAATATCAGCAGAGTAAACACAGATGATAATCTCCTTGATTTGTACCTGAGTGGTCGAAGTGTGCGGAGCAGGCGAAGGACCCGGAGGATGCCTAAGATCCGATTACCACCTGCTGAAGCGATGGACACCAGGATGTCCACAAGTGACACAAACACCAGGAGCCCATCCAAGACATTCCAGCTGCTCTGCAGGTACACGCCCTCTCCAAAGTACAGGCCCATAGCTACCACCTGTATGCAGACGCACACAGATCCAACAAAATTACTGAAATAATCAAATATGCTGAGGTGTAAAATGAGAATGAAAGCCATTATGATCCCCACCAGCAACGAAAATTGCCTCTTTAGAAGCAAGAAAATGACTTTGGAGTGGAGTGCTTATTCAGAAAATGTTAACTGTTATGGTTACCTTGATCATCATTTCGCCCACGAAGATCACAGTAAAGATGTAATTGGACACACTGAGAAACATCCGCTCCTGTTGCACACACACAGACACACACACACACAGGCATAAGAGCATGCACAGATTAACAGCAGGAAGCGCATTCGTCAATTTAAAGGCTTTGTAGCCTTAGCTTTGATTCTGGAGCACAAAGTGTTGCATAACGAGCTGAAAAAAAATGCACATCAAACGTTGTAGAAACATAATAAAAGCATACTGGGAACAACACGTGTTGTTATAGAGACTCTTACATCAGCTACAAGCACACGGGCTCTTGTAGTAAACAGCCCCTCTTTGTGTGCGTGGTCATACAAAAGACGTATGCTGCTTCTGTATTTGTGAGCCGTGAGTTGCGTCTTGAGCTGTTTAAGGTTTAGATTACAGTGCTGCGCAAAAGTCCTGATCTGCCACTTTTTTTTAGGAAACTGAGGAATAGAAGTGGCGATTTATTGAAACGTGCAAACATAAATAGAAACGCAGTATATAAGTTGAAACAGAGTTTGGCTTCAGGAACAGTTCTCCAGGCTTCTTAAAGGACATTTAAAACTCTTCTTTGGGTGTTTCTGCCTTTTATTCCCTTTTCTGTCAAGATGATCCCGCACTGCTTGGATAATATCGAGGTCCGTGCTCTGGGGAGGCCAATTCGCTGTGCGTTTTTCTATCCAGGTATGCTTTTACTGCATTAGCAGTGTGTTTGGGGTCATTGTGATAATGAAAAATCCAACTACTGCCAATCAGATGCTTTCCAGATGGTATTGCATGGATCAAAATCTTATGGTGTTTCCACTTCTATTCTTTTAGCTCATAACTATTTGGGAATCTCCTTACTGGTGCACAAATAATATTTCGACAACTGCCAAATTGTGGTATCTTTAGCAGTTTTGTAGGTTCAACTAAAGTAATGGAAACAACAGGTTGTTAATGACAAAGTGCTTAAAGATAAAATTCAAAATTGCTTCTTCGCTGTGTTGTCTGTTATCTCTAAACACAACACTGGTTCAGCCCTTGAGTTAGGTCAGTGGTTCATTCATTGCTCAAGACTACTTTAAAAATGAAAGTCTGGATCATATGAAGCAAAATCTAAAGACTTTTGGGGTGGCTCAAGACTTTTGCACAGTATTGTAGACGTTACGTTCAGACTTAATCTAAGCACTTAGACTAATGCATAATGAGTTCAAATGTGTCAAATCATCAAATAAAAAGCACAATGAAGATGGAAATTATATCAAAAATATCCAGTTAAACCAACCAAGGAAGACAAGAAACAGAGTTTCAGTGTAAAATTACATCCATTAAGTCCAGGTTAAAGGTTAAAGGTCAGGGTCTGGAATGCCGTTATGATGGTCAATACTTCTCCTTACAAGCGTAGTAACTGTGTGTGTGTGTGTGTGTGTGTGTGTG